TAAAGAAGTTTTCAACGTCAAGAGAAGGATTCGAGGTAAGATTACTGAAAGAACCTCTCTTGAATCTCAAGTTTTTGAATTTCAAAACTCATTTTCGTTTCAAACCGAATTTTCATGGTTTTTGAGTAAAACTATAGTAGAAATTAGAGATCTTGGGTTCTTTGGACTTGTTTTAGGACCTAGAACCCAGATCTAGTAGTTTCCCTTTGAAATATTTTGATTTGGGACTGGATTTACAGGTTTTGGACTGATTTCTGTGAGCTTCTCTCGCGCAGCTGATTCCACCGGTCGACCTGTGCGGTCGACCGGATCACATGGAAACCGGTCGACCTATGTGGTCGACCGGACTGTAAGCTGATCGGTCGACCGGTGTGCACACTACTGGTTGACCGGTAGTGTTGCACTACTCTGTCACCGGTCGACTGGTTGACATGAGGTTTGACCCTGTTTGGCCTGAAATTGCTGTTTTGACCCCTGTTTTTGGGAAGAACCCAAATTAGCTTCATTTGGGGACTTGAGATAACTGGATTAGCATTGTTAATCCTTGTTTTGAGATTGAAAACCCTTGGAATGATAATTTGAAACATGAAAATGGATTAGGGCACACTAATAAGAAATCTTGGTTGAAAATTGAGATTCGGATTGCTTTAGGAATGAGAATTAATCCTAAAGTGTTGTCTTGCATCAGTGATTGCTGAGGATTCAGACTGAAGGGGCTTGAGGAAGCGGAAGTCAGAAAAGGCAACGCTAGTCCCAGGTTTGATAGTGCGAGGTATGATTTCTATCCCTTTTCCTTGTGAGTTGTGAGCCTATTTTCAAAAAGGATTTCGGCCTTGAAAATGTTTTGAAGAAAGGGATTGGTTTGCGAAAGAAAAATGTTTTGAAAATCATTGCTTGTTTAGTTATGGAACCTCATGGCTTGTCCAGTCATGGGGTCCACGGCTTGAGTAGTTTGTGGGGTCGTATTAACGATTTCAAAATGTTAATGAATGATTTCTTAAGCAAAGAGATCTTGTGAACTGGTAATAGAGTCTATTGCTGTAAGCCTAGATAGGATGCGGAGAGTGCATTCTCGGGGCAGAACCCGAAACTCGGTCCGGGTAGGCGAGGCACTTGGTTAGGTAAGTAATTTGTACTAATTACTTGCTGAAGCGTGTAAAACAGTTATTTTCAGTTATATTTCCTTTGAGAAAAAGGATGTGAGGTT